ATTTATAATAAAATATAAAGTAGCTCGGGTCTCATGTTCTCTTCCTGCTATAAATCTACATAGGAAGCTAAGGTATAATCTGAAACTGGCTTTCTCAAACTGAAATCAGAGCAAGGGGAAGTCAAGTGGATTATGATGATGGCTAAAGGTATGATTAGCATCATAGTCATGCCATATGTACTGAATTCTTCATTTTGCTTTTTAAATTTAAAAAGTAAAGCATGTATCTGTTTCAGTTTTAAGTCACAAAAAATAAGTGACTAAAAATAAAAAGCTTCTGCCTTTTATAACCAAGTACTCTGGATTAGTTGGAAGCTTGGTAGTTACTACCCATCAGAGCTGGCTTGGCCACAGGAGTTTAGCAGCGAAAAGGGATACTACTTGGCTTAGTAACGGAGAAAAAGAGAGGCAGCAGACAGCTGGCACACAGGATTACCTCAAAAAGGCAGAGATAGGTGGTAGGTGAGCTGATCAATCTAAAATTAGGTAGCAGACACAGGCACAGAGTCACCTGCTACCTATACCCAAGATCATTAAATGATACAGTATTACACAGGTAAAAGTGGCCATTAGGGATCATGTAGTTCAGCCTCTCACATGTAAGAATGACTTGCTCAGTAACATAAAACAAGTTTGTGGACTGATTTGGACTAGGACCCAGTTCAGTGCTCTGATATTACACCATACTGCTTCTTTCCTATTTTTTATCAGGATTTGGAAGCCAAAATCCAGGGTGTCAAATGAAGCTTTGAAGAAGGGCCAAAGGAGAATGGGAAGAATACCAGGGAGACAAGTGTGAAAGCAATATGCCTCAGTGATACTGGTCCTGACAGCCAGCTCTACTAAAAGATCTCTATGGTCTCACTCTCTAGACTCAGATATCAACAGAGTGAAGTCATTTAATTATCTGTGCTTCAATTTTCTCATAAATAAACTATATCTGAAAATAATTATACCTTATTCAGAATTACCAGAGGATAAAATGAAATTGTGTATAAAGGAACATCAAATAAATATTGTTTTTTTTCCCTATTTACCATGAGCAAGAAACATTACCTTAATCTGAATTTTTAACATTTGCATACTAATGACCAGAAGGTAGGGAAGGAGGAGGAAATAGTATGATTAGAAAAAGAACAGGCTTATGCACTGAGAACAATTTGTTTTGTGAAATGAATTGAGTAACCACATTTTTTCCACGTTGCATCACTTGCACCTTAGCCAGGACATTGAGACAGCTGGCCAAACCTCAGCTGTTACAGAAAGTGCTTTTGTAGGACCTACTAAGAGTGTGAAGTGTGGGAGGGGAAAGTTGTTAGAGGGAACAACCTAACTGCTGGAATGATGACTGAAGCACCTGGTCTGGAAATGTCACCTGGAAGAAGGTCTCTCTCTACCTTCTGAGCCTGCTCCTCTGACCATCTTCTGCTAAAAACCTAAGGTCTCTAGGACACGCAGAAGAAAGGAAAATAGCAAACTTCTCTGGAAGCATCAGCCACACAGTGAATCATATTTCTTATCAGTAAGGTTTGCAGCCAGAAAGGAATGCATATCCAGCAACCTGGACACAAAGACTGTCAGCTCTGTTGGCTCTGGAGAACTGCCTAAGGACTCTAAATTTATCAGTCAAAAGAACAGAAAATAACCTGGGCATGAAAGTAAGAAAATCAGCTTTTAACTGAATAAAACCCAGACCACCAAAGCTTATCCTGTTTTAGCCTCAAGTAAATGAAAAGAACTCTGTTATCAGTTCCAAGGCACCTTTCTTCTTTCTGCTTCCATAGAGCTACTACTTCACAGGGCTTCCTCACAATGGATTTACCATACCGACCCCAGGGTACTTGTTTATTGCAGCACAGAAAGGAGTGGCATTTTCCTGAGCCAAGAAGTGTGTTTCCCTTTCATTCTGCCCCAGATTCTCTCCACCTCAGTGCGACTATCCTAATCCAAGCAACCCTCATTTCTTCCTTGTCCACAATTACCACTGTACAACTCATTCTTCACAGACCAGCTCAAGTGATTTTTTCAGGTAACAGCTTTATTAACATACCATATTAATTCACATACCATGAATCCACCCTACATTTTAGTGTTTTCTAAGATATTCATGGAATTGTGCAAACATCATCCCTAATTTTAAAATCTTTTCATCATCCTCAAAAGAAACCCCAATAGCAGTCATTTCCCATTTTCCCTCCCCCTAGCCACTGGCAACCACAAATCTACTTCTGTCTATGTGTATTTGGTAATTCTGGACATTTCACATAAATGTAATCATCAGTGACTATCTTTTGTGACTGGCTTTTTCATTTAGTATAATGTTATTAAGGTACGTCTATATTGTAGCATGTATTAGTACTTTATTCTTTTCTATTGCCAATTGGTATTTTGTTCTATAGATATATCATATTTTATTTTCCATTTATTAGCTGATTAACATTTGGGTTGTTTTATCTTTTTGGTTGCTGTGAACAATGCTGCCATGAACATTTGTTATATGCTTTTGTGTGGACATATGCTTTCTATTCTTTTGGGTATATAACTATGAATGGAATTACTGGGTCACACGGTAACTCTTTAACATTTTGAGTAACTTCCAAACTGTTTTCCAAAGTGGCTACAGTACTTTCCAATCTCACCAGCAATGTTCAAGGTTTCCAATTTTTCCACATCCTCAGCAACATTTGTTATTATCCATTTTTTGGTTATAGCCGTATCCATGGGTGGGAAGTGGTATTTCACTGTGTCTTTGATTTGCATTTCCCTAATGATGAATGATTTTAAGCATCTCAAGTGCTTATTGGCTATCTGTGTATGTTACCTGGAGAAATATCTATCCAAATCTTTTGCTTATTTTTAAATTGGGTTATTTGTCTTTTTATTGTTGAGTTACAAGTGTCCTTTTATATTCTGGATACAAGTCCAAGTGAGTTTTTTAAAGTAAATCAAACCTTGTCACCTCCCTGGCTTAGAACATTCTAATGGTTCCCTAATATGTTTAGAATAAAATCCAGTATTTGCACGCTGGTTTACAAGGTCCTACATGATGTGGTGCCTGCCCACTTCTCCAACATCATCTTATACCACTTGTTTTTAGTTTTTTTGACATGGAGTCTCGCTCTGTCACCCAGGCTGGAGTGCATTGGTGCAATCTTGGCTCACTGTGACCTCTGTCTCCTGGGTTCAAGTGACTCTCTTGCCTTGGCCTCCTGAGTAGCTGGGATTACAGGCATGCACCACTATGCCTGGCTAATTTTTGTATTTTTAGTAGGTATGGGAGCTTTTTAGTAGGTATGGCTCAGGTGACCCACCTGCCTTGGCGTCAAAGTGCTGGGATTACAAGCGTGAGCCACCACACTCAGCCCGCTTGTACCACTTTCTTGCTCAGGCAATGCATTCTAGTCAGAGCAATCTGCTTTCTGCCCTTGGAACATAGCAAACTCATTTATGTCTCAGCATCATTATATTAGTTGTTCCTTCTGCCTGCTTGGAAGTCTCTTTCCTTGGACGACTCCTTCTCATCATTCAGGTCTCAATTCAAGTATCAACTTTTCAGACAATTTTCTTGAAAAGAAATTCTATCTAAACAAGTTTCCCCTCTACAAAGAACGTTTGTGAATGATAAATATGTTCATTATTTTCATTGTGGTAACGGTTTCATGGATGTATATATATGTGAAGACTTTTCAAATTGTACACTTTAAATACATGCCATTTATCTTATGTCAATTATATTTCAATAAAGCTATTAAACAAAAAAAAACCCTTTATAATTATACCTTCACTGTCACTATCCTATCATACTTTATTTCCCTAGGAGAAATTAATTTTTGTCTACAAAAATTATCTATATGAAATTATCTTATTTCTTCATTTAAATGTTTACCATCTGTTTCACCCAACAGAATGAAAGTGTCATGAGCACAGCAATATTGTTCATTTTTGTCACTAATAAATTCTCAGCTTGGGTTACAATTAGGTACTCAATAAATATTTGGTTAATTGAATGAATGAACTCAATAGAGGTTTAGAAAAGAGCTCCTTAGACAATAAGAAGGCCGACTTTTCATTCCCTCAGATTTACCAGTATTTTTAGACTTAAGAGGATGAGATTATTATCTTTACTTAAAGCAGCTACCTCAAAATTATTCTGGATGATCTTCACTGCCATTGTCTGTATGATTTTATTGTTCATTTAGTCTGTGGCTCTATTCTAGTACTTTATATAGACTCTCTCATTGGTAGTGGTTAGTTTTGTAATAATATAATAATAATATAGCATATTATAATCATGTAGTATAATACATTATAGTTATAATACAGAATATAACATAATAGCAGCAGTAACACAATAAAAAATTTGTTTACCATTTGCTATTCATCAGATGTAAGCATTTTACCCATGTAATCTCATTTATTCCACACAATAACTTCATGAAGTAGGCTTCCTACTTCATGATGTGGAATTTGTAATTTAAGGAGGTGAATTAACTGCCCAAAGCTACATAGCTGATAAAAGGCAGAGATGAACCTCAAACCCACATCTATCTCACTTCAAAGCTTGTTCTTTTTCCATCCTGCTACGGTGCTTCTGAACTATTTCTAAATATAGTGTTACTCCAGCTCTTATCCAAAGCCCCTAAAGTCAGAGCAAGGTGTGTGCCTTGGGAATACTAGTACTCAAACTTTGAAATGGGTTAGAGACAAAAGTAAGAGAGATGAAAAGCTAGTTGCTTGAGAATAAACAAGGGTGTTTAGAGCAAGGAATTATTACTTTATCCCAAAGGCCATATGCAGCTTCATCTGACACTTGATACTCACTGTTTCTAACTGCTCCCTGGTAGACCTTGGTTTTACCTAAGCTGCTGGCCCTTGCTCCTCCCCTGCATACTAGTGAAGTATACTGGTGAAGACATGATCACGACAGACCTGGGGATATTCTTCCTTATCATCTCATCTGGGTCCTGATTTCAACAGCCTGTTTGTAGATGGGCCTTTACCTTTGGTGCCAGGAGGCTGCAGGTTGTCTCCAGTCAAGGAACACCAGCCCACAGGGAAGATGTCCCGGGAGTCGAAGCGGCACCAGTAGTCAAAGGCCCCTCGCCAACCATCAAAAGTGACAAGCACCTCTGAGCCCCGAACCTCCCCAATAGTGGCTGGACAAATGAAATGAGGGTTCTTCCTGTCCACAGCTTCTAGCTTCATTCCCATTTTGAAGAAGTTGTGGGAAGGCGATGGTGGCTCCTAGATGAGAAACAGAAATAGACAGACCTAGACACACAAAGAGAGGCCATGTATTGCAAAAGACTACTATCTAATTTGGATGATTAAAAAGTGATCAATTTGCTTCAGATTTTTAATAAAAGAAATAAAAGGTTGCAGATAAAGTTGAGTCTTCCTCTGGGCCCTTCCCATATTCCATTCCCCTTCTACCTACCACGGAGGTAACAGCTACCCATGCTTGTTTTATATTTTACTATATACATATGTACCCATTTGCCTGCTTTTAAATTTTATATAAATGGTATTATACTGTATATATCACTGTATATATTGTTGTGCTTTTTCGTTCAGCATTATGCTTTTGAAATTTGCCATGTTGACAGATTTAGCCCTGTTTCATTTTAATTCTTTATAGTATTTTATTGTATGTATATATAAAATTTTATTAATTCTCCTTTGGACACTTAAAGTTCTTTCCAATTGTTTACTATTTCAAAAGAGTTTTAGCCACCATTCTTGCACTTCTTTGTATACATGGGGGAAGGTTTCTTTAGGTTATACATCTAGATGTAGAATTCCTGGGTTATAGGGGAGATATATGCATCTTCTGCTTTATCAAATATTGTTAATTTGTCCTCCAAAGTGGTTGTAACATTGTATACTTTCTTTTTCACCAGAAGTGTGGAGAGTTCCTGGGTGCTAATTTGTAATGTGGCTATATAGATCAAGTTTCAAAACTGTGTTGTACATTATATTCTGTTCCCTTAATCTTACTGTCTGATCCTGTACCACTAATATAGTCTTATTAAATGGATATCTGATAGAAAAGTCCCCCTACACTGTCATTCTTCAATATCGTTTTGGCTATTCATTCCCCATCTTTCATGTACATTTCAATCAGTTTTTTAAGTTCCATATACAAACCCTATTAGAATTCTGACTGGAATTGCAATGAATTTATAGATGAATTTGGGTGGAAATAGCCTTTGTTATTTATTATCAAGCCTTCCCATCCATAATATATATCTCTCTCTCTCTTTCCTTCTTTCTTGGAGAACGGGTTTGGCTCTGTCACCCAGGTTAAAGTGCAGTGATATGATCTTGGCTCACTGCAACCTCTGCCTCCCAGAGTCAAGCAATCCTTCTACCTCAGCCTCCCAAGTAGCTAGGATTACAGGCACATGCTACCATGCCCAGATAATTTTTGTATTTTTTGTAGAGATGAGGTTTCACCACGTTGCCCAGGCTAGTCTCGAACTCCTGAACTCAAGTGATTTGCATGCCTCGGCCTCCGAAAGTGCTAGGATTACAGGCATGAGCCACCACTGTGCCTAGCCAAGATTTCCTTAATGTAGATTTCTCCAACATACATTTTACAATTTCCTCTATAAATATCTCATGCTTTTTTACTAACATTTTTTTCTAGGCAAATTACAATTCCACTTTTATCATAAGTGGCATTTAAAAAATTCATTTTAAAATCATTAACATTGAACTGTTGCTGTTAAATATGAATAAAGTGATTTTTAAAAACTGGCCAACTTATTCGATACTGATTAGCTTATACTGATTGACATATTAATTCTTTGTGGCCCAGGCTGCTTTCAAATTCCTGAACTCAAGACTTTTACCATCATTTTGACTTTTAGTATCAAAGGCTTGTGTGTTTTCCGTATAGTTTATATCAGCTTTATTTTGATAAAAGTTCATCTGGCACATATTCTGTATTCTTCTCTTTTTTTTTTTTAATTTTAAAATTTGTTTTCCATCGTCCCCAGCCTCTGTAGATATTCTTTTACTTTCAACATTTTTGTCATTATGCTTAGTTTCTCTTATAAACAGCATATAGCTAGATTTTTAAAAATCTGATCTATGTATGATTATAATGAGCTTAAGTTCATTTCTTGTGATAACTGATGTATCTGAATTATTACAACTATCTTATTGTCTATGTTTCTATTTAGCTTGAATTTCCAAAGTCCTCTTTCTCCTTTTCAACCAACTGAGTTTTCTTCCATTTTCCTCCTCCACTGATCCAGAAGTTAAACATTATACTTGGAGTTTTTTTGGCAGACCCCTTTAAAATTTTAACTGCACAGTTTGCATAACAAAGTCTAAAACTCATCTTTATTTCTAGTCCCAAAGAATACAAGAACTACTCCTGAGTTACACAGGTGCTAGGTAATTCAGAAGCAGGATGCTCTTAGCATTGAGACTTAACTAGCAGCAAAGGCAAACCTAATTCAATACCCTTTATGGTAACTCTTACCCGATTAGAAAATTCAACTGATAGTAGACTGACTGCCTCACTTCTTGAGAAACAAGAACAAATACAGGTTTTGGGGCCCTGTACTGCCACTTGTTAGCCATGTGATCTTGGGCAAGCTCCTAATTCAAAAGTATTTGTTCCCTTAACTATTAAATGAAAACAGTAATTCTTAGTTCATAAAATTAGCTGTGGGTATTAAATAAGATCGTATACATAAAGTCCCAAATATATTGTAGGCAGAGATTACTGGCAGCTGGGACCACATAATCTAATATATGGGACCTTATAGTCTAATATATTCCTCTGGGGATAATTGCTGGTTCATATGCTACTAAAAAATCCTACTGAACTAATTTCTGAGAAGACATCTTTGGGCCATAAGTATAACGTAGACATCAAAGGCTCAATATTCGACCTTAAGCAGCTTGGAGTTGGTGATCTGAGGGATAGCATACCTTGTGGAAAATCCTGATGGGAGCCATCTCTGCTCCATTTAGCGTCTTCAAAAGGAACATGGGCCAAGAAGATGCATTCAGCCGAAATCCTGCAGCAAGCATATTGGGCAAGAGATAAAAAATATGTTTAAAAAGTGAATGGTGATATCAAGTTCTGCTTTTGGAATCCAGTTACTCCTATGCTGTGATAGTTACAGAATCACAGACTGTTAAGAAAGGACTTAAGGGTTAAAAAGAAGAAATGCCTCATTAGACTGATGAAGAAAATAAGGCACATAAGAGGAAATTTAACATGGTCCAAGGTAAATAGTGGGACAGTCTCCAAACCAAGTTTCCTGAGACAAGTATTACAGAACACATAACATAATGCCTAGAAAACTTTTCTTGAAAAATCCAAAAAAGATGTGATAGGATTAACAAATACTTAGAGATGATCTGGACAGTAGAGTACGAAAGGGGATCTAAAAATCCCTTAAGAAGAAACCAAACTCACCAACTAATAAACCCAATACATAAGTAAATCATTTTGGTTCATCTCAATATAAACTAATTTACTACTTCTTTATCACTTTCTGCCTCGCATACATATACACACCAAGTACAAAATACTTTTGGATATTCGTTGTTTACTTAAACAACTAAGGACCCAGGAATGACCTTGGAGAGAACTGTCCTATCCAAAAAAATCTTCATTTTGGAAAGAGTAAAAAGAAGCCTAGAGAGGTTAATTGTCCATTATCATCCATCAATAAGAATGTACCACTTAATGAATTGTAAAAATAAGATCGTTATTACAGTTAGGTCTTCCAATTAGAGCCCCAAGTGCTTCTTTTGATTTGCTTCAACTCTGCATCCTGAGATAACAAAACCTAATGCTTTCTGAGTATTTCCCAAACTACCTCAGCCTTGCTACTGCAGACAAAAGAATAGATAAGCTGCACCCAAGCTGCAAAGGTGGAAATAACAGCAGCGGCAGCAGTATCTGATATTATTGAGCATTTTACTGTTCACTATGCCAATCACTTTCTATTGACTAATCCTCAAGACAGCCCAAAGAGGTAGATATTATCTTCATTTTATAGATGAGGAAACAGGTACAATTTATTTAAAGTTAAATAAATTGCTTAAGATTTCTAAGTGAGAAAATGAAAAGACAGATTAAAATTCAGCAATCTGACTCCCAAGCTCACACTTTAAAACTGGCAATATATAGGTAAAATGCAAAAGAAAGAATCAGATTTTCAAATCAGGTATCAATGAATAACTATAATTAAATTTAGGGGGAGGAGGTGACAAGAAGAAAATACAAGCAAAAAAGAGTTACCACTCCATACTATTTAAACTTTTAGTCCCAAAGCTGGCTAGGCTAAGCCAGCCTTCCCGAGGTAAAGAGATTTCTTGGGACAGCCCACCCATATTAACAAAGGCGACAGCAATGTGGACATTCTTATTACTCAATCTAAAACTGCCATCACTTCCTTTGTGCTTGTCCAACTTTTTTTCCCATTAGGGGAAAAAAAAGCACCCTAATTCCACATGATTTGGTGGGGATGTCAGCCACGTGGTCTTCTCCTACCTGGTCATGGCTTAAAACACAATGCCATTTAAGAGTCTCAAATTCCCCTAAACCAAGAGTGTATATGTGTCTATGTCCCAAGTTAGGCCAATTGTTTCTGACATGAGATTGATGCTGGAGAAGAAAATGTTTCTTTCTCTGATTACATGTCCATAAGGGTGTTTGCAGTTTGGGCACTGCTACATGGAGAACAGTCCTGAGAATAAAGCCAAGGTATGGCATGGGATGAAGTGGCATAATAGTGTTTAAAATCCTGTATTCAGACACTCAACACCAGATAAAGCCTTGGACTTCTCGGCTGTATGAGTTAATAATTCCTGCCTCTTCCTTTTTTCCCTCCCTAACCTGGTTTGAGCTGGGTTTTTAACTGCTACTCTTTTTTTGACTGTGGTTTAATAAAAATTAAATCTCTCCAGAAATTCAGGCTTGGTATATATGTGGGAAAACAACTCTCCTTAGGTCAGGGAAGGTCTGAAGCAAGCCAAACCCAGAGCAGCTTTGCAATGAATGGTTTGGTACACCTATAGACAAGGAAAAGCAAGGCATTACCGTCTTAGAGAGGTGGTCTGTACACCTTGGTATATGGAGGCCTGCACAATTAGAAAATTCAGGTTTCATGCCTTTAGTTATCAATGACTAGAGTGCCTAGCCATGTAATTCCCAATTCCATTTTTTAGGTAGGGGTTACTTAGGGGTTTCTATCTCATCTGGAGCTTAAGGAGCTAAAAAAATCCTCTCAGCTGGTAATCATTAGAATATTATCATAATAGTTAATATATATTGAATGCTTACCATGTACTAAACATTTTATATGCCATTTCTTACTCAGTATTTGAAATAGTAACGTGAAGTAGGCACTATTATTATACAGATAAAAAATGAAAAATCAGAGAAGTAGCTTGTCTAGGGTCATGGTAGTAAATGGTGGAGAAAGATTTCAATCCATGGTGGTTCGATACCAAACTTTATGGTTCTTTACTATGTTTTGCTACCAGCGGGATTCTTCAAGAGTACAGGAGCAAGAGGATCCAAGATGGCCGAATAGGAACAGCTCGACAGTGCAGTTCCCATTGAGAACAGTGCAGAAGGTGAGTGTTCACTGCATTTCCAAACAAGTTTTCACTGCCCACAAACCAGGAGATTCCCAGGCTGAAAAGTGCCATGAGTTTTCAGCGTGGAGGTTTCAGTCCAGCTGGTGCCTGGTCAGCATACAGAAACTCAAACAAGTCTGTGCAGCTGTTCTGACTGGTGCCTAGAACACCTGGGAGACAGAGCTGCCCATTCAAATGAAAGGGAGGGGCTCAGACAGGGAGCCAGGCGATCTGGCTAGGTGGGTACCACCCCCACAAAACAAGCAATCTGAAATACTCTGGATTGAGAGTTTTGCAGCAAGTGCAGCTGGATGCAGGACGGTCCAGCTCAATGGGGGGAAGGGCATCCCCCACTACTGAGGCAGTCCACCACTACGAAGGCAGTTCACACAGTAGCTGGGCATAGCCTGCGGCAGTTCAGCAACACCTCTTCTGGCAGACCGTGACTAGACTACTCTGTGTGGGCAGGACATCTATGATAAAAGGCAGCAGCATGACAGGAACTTATAAATAAAGCCAACCTTCCTAGGACAGAGCACCTGGGAAAACAGGCTGTTATAAGTTCAGCTGCAGCAGACTTAAAGGTACCTGCATGGGAGCTCTGCACGGAACAACAGAGCTCCCTCCCAGCACAGCACTTGAGATCCTATAAGGGACAGACAGTCTTCTCAAGCAACTCCCCAACCCCCGTATACCCAAAGAGACACCTCATAGAGAAGAGCTCAGGCCCACATCTGGCGGGTACCCCTCTGGGATGAGGACAGTGAGGAAGAAACCGGCGGCAACCGTTGCTGTTCTGCAGCCCCTGCGGGTGATCCCCAGGTGAGCGGAGTCTGGAGTAGACCTCCAGTGGTCCTGCAGCAGAGGGGCCTGACTGTTAGAAGGAAAACTAAGAAGCAGAAAGAAACAGCTTCAACATCAACAAAAAGGACATCCACTCAGAGACCCCATCTGAAAGTCACCAACTACAAAGACCACAGGTAGATAAAGCCACTAAAATGGGAAGAAACCAGCACAAAAAGATGAAAACACCAAAAACCAGAATGTCTCTCCTCTTCCAAGGGATCACAACTCCTCAACAGCTAGGGATCAAAGATGGAGAATGAATCTGATGAATTGACAGAAACAGGCTTCAAAAGGTGAGTAATAACAAACTTCTCAGAACTAAAAGAACATGTGCTAACCCAATGCAAAGAAACTACGAACCTTGAAACAAGGTTAGATGAGATGTTAACTAGAATAAACAGCTTAGAGAAGAATATAAATGAATTGACGGAGCTGAAACACACAGCACGAGAACTTCACGAAGCATGTACAAGTTTCGATAGCTGAATCAACCATGCAGAAGAAAGGATATCAGAGACTGAAGATCAACTCAATGAAATAAAACAAGAAGGCAAGAATAGAGAAAAAAGAGTGAAAAGAAAAGAATAAAGCCTCCAAGAAATATGGGATTATGTGAAAAGACCTAATCTACGTTTGATAGGTGTGCCTGAATGTGACGGTGAGAATGAATCCAAGTTGGAAAATACTCTTCAGGATATTATCCAGGAGAACTTCCCCAACCTAGCAAGGCAGGCCACTGTTCAAGTCCATGAAATACAGAGACCACCACAAAGATATTTCTCAAGAAGAGCAACCCCAAGGCACATAATCGTCAGATTCACCAGGGTTGAAACAAAGGAAACAATGCTAAGGGCAGCTAGAGAGAAAGGTCAGGTTACCCAGAAAGGGAAGCCCATCAGACTCACAGCAGATCTCTCTGCAGAAACCCTACAAGCCAGAAGACAGTGGGGGCCAATATTCAACATCCTCAAAGAAAATAACTTTCAACCTAGAATTTCATATCCAGCCAAACTAAGCTTCATAAGTGAAGGAGGAAGAAAATCCTTTATGGGCAAGCAATTGCTGAGAGATTTCATCACCATCAGGCGTGCCTTATAAGAGTTCCTGAAAAAAGCACTAAATATGCAAAGGAACAACCAGTACCAGTCACTCCAAAAAAGTACCAAATGGTAAAGAACACTGACACAATGAAGAAAATGTATCAACTAACGGGCAAAACATCTAACTAGCATCAAAATGGCAGGATCGAATTCACACATAACAATATTAACCTTGAATGTAAATGGACTAAATGCCCCAATCAAAAGACACGGACTAGCAATTTGGATAAAAAGTCAAAAGCCATTGGTGTGCTGTATTCAGGAAACCCATCTCACATGCAAGGACACACATAGGCTAAAAATAAAGGGATGGAGGAAGATTTATCAAGCAAATGGAGAGCAAAAAAAAAAGCAGGAGTCGCAATCCTAGTCTCTGATAAAATGAACTTTAAACCATCAAAGATAAAAAGAGACAAAGAAAGGCATTACATAATGGCAAAGGATAATGCATCAAGAAGAACTAACGATCCTAAATA